TTTTTTTTTTTTTTTGCTATTTTAAAGTTTTGCTATATCTTAGAAAACTACTACTACATTTGAAATGAAATCATACATAAACTATTTTTAAATCATACCTAAACTAGTACGACCCGTGTATTGCACGGGTTGTTTGAAAAAAAAATATAAAACATAAAATAATAGAAAAAATTCATGTTGTTGTATAACTATTTCAACTCTTTAAAATATATTAGAAAGATATGTAATATTCTATAACTATTTCAATATATTTCTATAGATAAAACATAAAATAATTATTTCAACTCTTTAAAATATATTAGAAAGATATGTAATATTCTATAATTATTTCAATTCTTTAAAATATATTAAAAGATATGTAATATTCTATAACTATTTCTATGTATTTTTATAGATAGTCTAAAAAGATTTAAATAATTTATTTACCATAGTTGGATTGAAAAGATATAATATGCAAATGCTATATATGTGTTCAATTTATTTTTGTAAAATTATAGTATTTTTTAATTTAAACTATATAAAATAGTTATTGTTTACGTTAATTATATAAATAAAATAATATATAAAGCTAAATTTTTTATTTTGGTATTTCGTGAATTACGTTTTTGGAGTTGGAGGATTTATACGGCATATAAGAATCCTATCTATTTTGGAGTTGGAGGGGATCGGATTAAGCAAAAATCCTATTTATTAAGTATTTTATTTTAAACAATTGGGAAATGTATCCAAACCAAAAGCCGAAGCATGTAATGTTGCCAAGTAAGCTTTCGAAACGTGCGAGGCAGCCATTTAGGCTCAGCACGTTTTCAAATTATATTAAGAGGGGATAACTTATACTGAAAAATAATATAATTTCGAGTTTATAATTAATTGTTTATAAGAAAAATTCGAGTTTAGAGGTGATAATTTATAGTTTATGGTTAAAAAGTTAGTTGATATAATAAAAGTGTTTGATAAAATTAGTTGATAAGTCAGCTAAAATAAAAAATTTTATGAATTATTTGAAAAACTACCTAAATAAGCTACACATTGTTAATTGAAATATTATATTTTAAATATTTAGGTATATAAAAATATTTTATAATATTTCATTGCATAAATATTGATATGGCCATTAGTAGGGGTTCGCCTCAGACCGGTCTGAGGCGGTCGTCATCGTTATGATGGGAAGACTGGCTAGGCGGCATACCAAGGAGTCACGTGCTAGGTAGGCGGGATCACTTAGGCAGCTGGACACCTCGCCACTTAGGCAGCTGGGCACCTCGGCACCTAGGCGGCTGGACGCCTCGGCACCTGGGCAGTTCGGCCAGAGGGTTCTGCCGAGGCGACCAGAGCCCGGTGATGGCTTCGTGAACAAGTCGCGTAAAAGTTTGTAGTGATAAGGACTCTGACGTTCTGGGCATCTTTGACCTAATTTGTGGATAAGTATGAGGAAAAGACTTCTAGACCAACAAGAACTCTACGACATGCACAAGACCTCATCTATAAAAGGGGACAGGTTTATTCATTTTACATAACACACATACACAAGTTATCTTGTTACTCTGCCGTTTTCTCTCCAAAACACCACCACTGACTTGAGCATCGGAGTGTCCACGCCGGGACCACCCCCGGCGTGTTTTGCAGATACCGGCGATCGAGAAGGTTCAATTCGGTTCGAGAGGAGCGGTCTAGCGGTTCGAGTATTTGTGGTATAACAAATATAAATATTCATTTTTGTAACAATAAAATATGACGGAATTGTCAATATACAATAATATATACTATGAAATTGCAAATCAATCGTCAATCGCATAAATGTTGATTTGATCATGACATATTTACACTCAACATTTTCCGAATTTCCAGTAATATTCAAAATTCCGAACATACATTTTAGCCTGACAATTTTTCCTTTTTTTTTTTTTCATAAATATGTTTTCTTACTAAAATATCATACTTTAAAATTAATATAAACAAAACTACAACATAATATAAATATGCATTTTTATTACATGAGTCAATCTACCACCAATTAAACTATATCCCACGATAAAAGTTTGTACTCTAATCGACACATCACTGTAATTTTATTTATTTATTATTTATTTATATATTATGCATTTTTATTACATGAGTCAATCTACCACCAATTAAACTATATCCCACGATAAAAGTTTGTACTCTAATCGACCCATCACTGTAATTTTATTTATTTATTATTTATTTATTTATTTTATTCACCGTGAGATGGTGATTTTCTTTTATTCACCTGACCAATCACAACAGACAGCGGAGGAAAGGTTAGGAAGAAAAATATTATTACATGCTTACCCTCGTGAAATTTCTTGCTGTGAGTGTGGTGTTAGTAGACCTCAACGGTCTATTCACACGTATACTAATTCAAAATGTCTTGAGATTAAGTGGCAGGTTCGCACATTTTGGAATTTTACATGTTACAATATCATGTTTTGTATATATTTAGGTTCGTATAAAAATTTTAGAAATAAAATTGGCTTGAAAAGTGTCGTAAGTAATTTTTCTACCATACATCATTGCCTCCTATCAATCTCTCTTTCATCACCAAATTTGTTTTGAATTTAAAGATCACACAGATCTTTTTCTTATTTAATTTTTTCATTTTAAAGATCATTTGAATTTAATAATTGAGTTAACAATGGATCTTTTATTTGGTAGGAGATCAATGTCGAGTTAACAATGTTTCTTTTATTTGATAATTCAGTTAACAGTGTTTTATTTAATAATTAATTCTTTATATCCTTTTATTTGAGAATTGAGTTAGCTAACACCATGTCTACATTAATTTTTTATATTCTTTTATTTGATAATTGAATAAATAATGTTTTCAGCTTTTTGGCGAATATATGGTAACAAATTTCTTCACACTCCAAAATCATGAATTGAATTCGTAACGAATTCTAACACCATATTCTAACGAGATTTATTCCATTTATTTATTTCATGTATACTATAATACTAAACTCTTTTTTTTTGTTCAAATTATTATTTCATGCACCAGTGTAGTACACGGGTGTCGTACTAATATTTATTTACATTAAAATATTTAATATTTAGAAAATGTAAATAAAACTACTATATTTATATTTTGTAAAAGTAAGTATAAATTTTGGTTTAAAAGGTATTACTAGTCAGACTTTGTATAACCATAGAATGTTGATCTATATACAATCTATGCATTTTTTGGCTTCCTTGAAGGCATGCAATAGATCTTATGTTTGCTAAGTCTAACCATCAGACCATCGTAGTTTTTCCACCAATATATATATATAACAAACATTTTTGTTCACACAGTATGACAAATTGATATGCGTAACGGTTAGATTGTCCACAGAAGAATTTGTGAAATTCATATATACCAAATATATATATGTTTGGTAAATCTAACTGAAAAATTAGTTAATAGTTAATAAGTATGGTGATGATTTATTAGCAAATTTTGATATAGTTGATAACTTATGGCTAATTATATAGAAGTTAGATGATCATATAATATTTTTTTTTTATTGTTAAATTAACTTATAAGTCAACTAAAATAAAATTTCAAATATGATAAAATCCCTAGATAAGCTAATGAGATAAATACAAGATACTACCTAAGTTCATCCTACCGCTTATTTGAATACAAAAAAATATTATAAGTTAATTAATTAAAATCATTATAAATTCGCTTTATGATACTTATGAAATACAAATCTAGTCACTTATCAATGCGATGTTCAATTACATTTATTGTATCCAATGCTAACCTATATCAATGCAATTTTAAATGAGATTTGTTAGTATCCAATAATGCACATAAAAAAGAAGTAGGTGTTTTATGGGTCAGTGAGTAGTAAGAATGGATTGTACAATTATTGTAAATCTATATGTTATACTTAATAACAATAATTCTATATGTCATACTAAAAATAAAAGGTTAAATTTATTTATATGATTCGATATCTCAAACTAAATTTCATTATGTTTATTTGGTACCTTTATTATAAAATTAATTTATTAAATTTGTTAGCTTGAAATATCTTAAAAATAAATTAAAGTCTCTTATATTGTGTCATATAACCCATCTAAGAAATACATTAAACGTATCTTAAAAGAGAAAAACAATACATTTTTTATTATTTTATTCCTGTAATGTTTTAGCATAAAAATAGTGCAAAAAATCATTAAAAACGCAAGGTAAATTAAATTAGTACAAATAATATGTCACATCGTCATTTAGCGTAGACTTTTCAATAAAATACGAAATTATAAATACTATATTGCAATATTGAATATTTTTGCGCTATATCCCATTATGAAATATCTTTTAAAATATTGGTTAAATGCAACACTTTTGCCCATAAATTAATTTAATAATAATGGATGGTCCAAAACATTTATATTATATTAATGGGCTCCTTAGATGGTCCTTTAAAAATAATTTTGTTCAAATGGATCAAAATACTCACGATAGCCCGTGATTATTATGGATTCAACTAAAAAAAATTTTTAATCAAAACTCAAATTGAACTCAATTTTAACTCAACATAATTATCCTTAATATTATCAATATAATTAAATAATATCAACCAAACATTCTTATACATCATATCAACTTTAATTTATTATTCATTCACTTACATAATTTTAACTAACCATTAATTTCAATCATTTTTCTTCTACTTTACATCAAATCAATTTAAGTTATTTTATTTAAATATTATTTTAATACATCTAATAATAATTAATTATACTAATTTTTTTAAAATTAAATATAATTAAAAATAACCAAATAAAAATTAGTTGTACTAAAAAACAATGTTGTCTTTACATAAAATACTAAAATCTATGCATGCTCTTCATCATCTTTTGATATCACCTAGTATTAAATATGTAAACCTTAGAGAAAAAAAATATAAATAAAAAGAACAAAAAAAGGAAACATCCACATATCTCAAGAACTTGAGCACCTCTTATTATCTTTGACTAGTTTTCTTACAATCGTGTTGTGGTCCTTCAAAATATTCTCTCCCAATCCCATATAAATCGCATTAAATACTATTTAATTAAGGACAAGTGACAAAAGTTAGAGGAGAACAAGTTAATTAAGGAGTACTATATTGTGTAGGTTTTGATGATTACTCTGTGCATTGCGGAAGACCATCATCATTTTAAATAGCTAGCATTTTTTATCAGTAAAATATTTAATTTTGAGAATCTTTACAAAGTTTCGACTCAAACTGAAATGTATACAGTTTCAAAGTTCAAATTATGAGTGTACATTACATAATGGAATAATTTTAGAGCATTAAATTTGTGATTGCATTAAAAGTTCATTTGTAATTTTCAATTCCTAATTTTATAGTTCATTTGCAAGAAATGTTGTACAATTTAGTATAAATTCACTTTTTATTTGTGATTCCATAAAAAATATTGATGTAGGAAAGCGTACGAGTGGGACGATATTAATGAGATTTCAATCTCAAGAACATCTAAACACGATATAATTCATAATTTATTCATAAACGACCAAGGAAAATAATTAGAGGGAATCCTTTATATAAGGCCCCTAATCCTAAACCTTAACTTGTCCACCAAGACACTAAATAATAATAATTTAAATAATAATAATAATAATAATAATAATAATAATAATAATAATAATAATAATCTATACCATTCTCTCTCTGTTTGGAAGGTTTCGCCCTCGAAGCCGATGCGCTCCTGTGGCCGGCGTGTGGTGTCGAATCCATGGTAGAAAACCCCCGTCGTTTTCTCCAGTCAAACACGAAAGTTGAACGTCGCCCAACCAATGCAACACATTCTTGATTTTCATCAAATAAAGATACGACTACAGCCGTCTCACCATCATCAGCAACATATACTGAGACTCTTGGGCACAACCAAGAGCCAACACATCTGCCTTTAGGATCAATTCTCAAACAAAAAACTTGATACCACATATCACATGAATCACAAGCAATTGATGTATCGATGTCTGAATATACATCAATTAATAATGATCCACTACGAATTTTGAAACCATCTCCATCCATGCAGACAACTGCATTCTCATCGATTCCCATGTATTCGCAAAGATTGTTCTCCGTAACTAGAGGCTCTTCATCAAAGATTGACGGACCGTCGTATAATGACCCATCAACTTGATCTCCATCAAATTCGGGAATGTCAACGCGAAACGGGCCCTCCCATTGACCATATTCGCGATCAAATTCCCTCTGCATAGGCCTAAAATCTTCGAGTCCTTGCTAGGCCCAAAATCCCAACCGTGTTGCTGCCGGTCGAACCCCGCGAAGCCGTCACCATCACGTTCAAGTCTAAGATCGCGTCGGGCGCGATATCCGCTGGCGAAGGCAGCCTCCTTGCGCTTGCCTATGTCGTCGCGTTGATCGTCGCCGTCCACGAAGATTGGGCCCCGTCGCCACATGTCACGGCCGTCGTATGCAACGAAAAGGTCAGCCTCGACGTGCGTAGGTTGCCACTCGCCGAAGGGATTCACCTCCGAGATGGTATCCTCGCCGTCTTCGTCGCCGGACGGTGGTTGTGGATATCTCCGGCGGGGCGCCCCGCCTGGACCACGGCCTCCACGTCCTTCGTGAACTCCCCCGCGAACGCCCTGGTTGCCGGCGTCACGGTTCGTTTGCAAATCCTCAACCATGTTGTTGATCGTAAAACGTACTTCTTCGATCCCCGTCGAAAGATCCTCAACCCGACGATCCAATTGATTGATTTGGCGGCCGAAGCCCGTGGCTTGTCGATCGGGATACTCAAAGGTGGCATCATGTCCGTCGATGTCGTCCTTCCGCGGCGACATCTTGAATCGTGCTGACTTCTGATACCAACTGATGTAGGAAAACGTACGAGTGAGACGATATTAATGAGATCTCAATCTCAAGAACATCTAAACACGATATAATTCATAATTTCATTCAAAATCAACCAAGGAAAATAATTAGAGGGAGTCCTTTATATAAGGCCCTTAACCCTAAACCTTAACTTGTCCATCAAACCACTAATAAATAATAATAATAATAATAATAATAATAATAATAATAATAATAATCTACACCAAATATTTATAGCATTAATGAATTAAAAATACTCAGAACTCAAGAAGAGAAAAAATGTATAAAATGGCATAATGATATATGGTTTAGGGGTTAATATTTGTATCAATTATTATCTCTTGATGATTCAAGAAAACCAACGTTAGTTAATAATATAATTGCTGATCACTTGCCTTTGCAAATTGAAAATTAGGTCAAGCAGCTTGTACCTTCTTATTTGTTTATTTTCTCATATATAAATGTAACAGAATTAGAAAGAAAAAAATATAGATATATACCTTATCTGAATTCCAAGGACAACTAGGATGGAATTAATATATTTAAATGGACAGCACTCAATGGAATCTTTACCAATCAAAGAAGCAATTAGGAGACACTCTGACTTCGTTATATAAAATAATTGGAGTTTAATATTGGCAAGAAAAACATTAGCGCCAAGTGCCAAGTGCCAACACATAAATGCAGACTTAGTGGGGATGACTAAACTATCATTTTAATCTATATATATATATAATAAGAATTAACATTTATCAAAAATAGTAGGTTAATTTATGGTCAAACGCAGGTCTGCATTAATTCTTTTCTATAAATGACAGGTTTTAATTCCTTTTCACACAGTGCATTAATGACGCATTAATTACACCATTATCCCTTTTCACATACTCCTTTTCACACACTACATTGTACAACCACAAAAAAGGGCCTTATCCCGTTAATGCAGCCGTATTGTTTGAAATTTTAAAAAGTCCTTTTTTTTTAATATTGTTTGAAACAAATCCTCATGCCGCCTTATTGTTTGAATTTCTAAAAATTCCTTTTTTTTAATATTTTCTCTTCTCTCGATCCAACATTAATTACTGAGCCGTCCAAAAATTTTGGAATCTAATTTGAAACTAAAAAAATAAATAAATCGGATGCATCCTAAAATAAATGATTATGTTCAATCTTCCATAATAAAATCCATAATACAATCCTAAAATAGAGAATTTTGTTTAAGACTTACGCTGAAATACATAAACAAAAAAAAAAAAAAGAAGAAAAGGAAGGAGTTTAATTTTTAAAAGTGAAGGTTCAAAACCTATCGCCTCTGCCCCATTTTTTCGGCCGTCAATCTCAGCAGTAAACCTCCTCTACTTAAGTAAGGTTCAAAACTCAGCCGACCCTATTTTCCTATCGCCCCTCTCAGCAAAGCCGAAGCCCATTTCAAATCAACGCCCGAGAAATCGAGCATCTTTACCTCTTCCTTTTTCTGACGAGAGGTACTTAGGCTGAGCCTTGAGTTATCTCTTTTTTGGCCGAGTTTATGTTGAGAAAATTTAGAAAAATGAAGCATATTTGTGGTTTTATTTCTCTGAATTGGGAAGTAAACTCAGCCAGTTATCTTATTGTTTATACGCTGTTTACATGTTACATTTTGAGTTAAGGATTAATGAAGGAAGTTTTATTTTGTATGTTAAAAAGCATTCATAGAATGTTATAGAAAGAGGAGCATGTATTACATTAATGTTGCCTTGATTTTTGAAAGGTATTGGCGTATTGGTGAGACATGCTGAGCCTTAGTTTGGTGTTAGTATATGCTGCAAATATGGGACTTATGTTTGTAAATTTCAGTTAAAGAAGTAAAGTTAGGATGTTTAAAGGTTTAATAAGAACTAAGAAGGAAGAATTTTATGTTACATATACTTGTAAATTTTAGTTAAAGAAGTAAAGTTAGGATGTTTAAAGGTTTAATAAGAACTAAGAAGGAAGAATTTTATGTTGAGGCCTTGAATTAATTATTTTTCTGGGCATGCTATTCAACCGTGCTATTGTTGAATTCATCTTGCGATTATGTTCAATTTCCAGAGGTTAAGCACCTACTGCATTCTATTTTCAGCAGTTTTTTAATTTTTTTTTTTAAATTATTCCCAAAAAATCGATGCATCCTAAATTTATGGGTTTTGTTTGTTTAATTTAGGTAAATTTCGATTTATCACTTTTTATTAAAAAACCGATTAGCATAAATCAAGAATTTCGAATTAGGCAAAATACTATCACATATATATTTTTTCTAATTGCAGCATATGATTTGTTTAGTAAAAAAATCAGATTGCATATCAATCGAGTTAATTTAGGTAAAATTCGGCATTACAATTTTGTAAAAGTCAAAATTCTATATTTTTTATTTGAAAAAATATATTTACCATAAAATCAGAAATTTTGAATTAGGCAAAATGATAACATGTGTCTTTACCTAATTGTAACAGATCGTGTTTATTTAAAAAAAAAAATCGAATTGCATAGAAAATGAGCTCAATTTCAAATTGAAAACTAAAATTTATAAATCCCCTATCATTGGCTACTACTTTCTTTAGCTTGTTTGTTTTTTTTTATTAACGTAAAGCAGAATCAGATAATATTAATTTGAAATTCAAAATAAAATTAGATTGGAACATCCTAAAAACTTGGATTTTGTTTAATCCTCTAGAATACAAATTTGAAATTGATTGAATAAATGTACACAATTTTTTCCTTCCTTAAATTAAGAATTTACAATTTTAATATAATAAGGCTATAGATTATTAAGAAAGACGTCTTACAAACTCCATTATATTTGGCTATGCAATCTTCATAAAACCAGTATAAATCATATCATATATATCCTACTAAATAATTTAATAGATTTATTTAAGCCTATCTAGAATCCTAATATATATGGGTGTCAAGTGTTTATTTTCTTAGATATGGTTTACACAGATGTAGGTTGTTTTCTGCCGGTGGAGTTTCAGCCTGAGTCTTTTAATTACTTCGGCACTCGGGGGCGGTGGTCATTACCTTCAGATTTAGCCAAAATGCACATGGACATAGATAAAACGACACATAACACCATTAATTTGGATTTGTATTTGATTATATAACCTTTACGACCAGATTTATGTATCTATTTTACGACCAAATAAATAATGTTCTGTACAAGGATGTGTTTAAAAATATATAAGTTTTATTTTGTTTATTCCAATACATGCGTTTTACATTCTTCTAATCATCCAATCATCAAAATCTAAATGCTTACGTTAATAAAATTAGCTCGTGCATCGCACGAGTACCGCACTAGTTGTAATTGTACGGACTAATTTTTTTGGCTATAGAAAAGAGACTTGAGCACTCCTCATTTTGCTATAGCCAAACCCTACCTCCCTTCAAGGCCAAGGCGGCTCCAGTTTTTGTTCTTTACTTCTTTTTTATCATTGGCTTTACTTAGTAATACGCAGTTAATGGCCAACATATTTTATTAGTTGTTTTAATAAAAAAAATATAAATATAATACCGTTAGTAATTAGCAAGTTTGTCAAAACCGGACCGATCATCGAACCGGTCAAGCTACTGGTTTAATAGTTCACTGGTCCAATCAGTGGTTGAACCGGTTGGACCATTATTTAATCTATTGATATTTTTAAATATATATAATATTTCATAGATATAGTTAACTTAACTTTTAAGTTATTTAATTTATTGATATTTTAAATATATAATACTTTATAAATATTAAATATAATTGACTTATATTTTTTAAAAGGTTGGTCCCACCATATATAGATTAAGCAATAAAGTAATAGTACAAAAATATGGAAAATAAGAAATATTTCTTCACACTCCCACATTGGGCAATAAAATAATAGGAAATAAATATGGAATATGTGAAAAGAAATTCCTTCCACGCGTGGCTTTACCTTTACAATGGGAAATTTTAAATTCTTATATCTTGTCCCACATCGGTAATCACACAAAAAAAAAATAAAAAATTACATGACCGGTTGAACCGACCAGTTTTTTGGCCGGTTGACTGGTTCAACCGGTTCGACCGGTCAGTGACTGGTTTTTTAGATAGCCGGTTTCTTCCATAGAATTGGACCGATCAATTGACCGGTTCCCAGTTCAACCGGTCGGACCGGCCGATCCGGTCCGGATTTGACAACTATGGTAATTAGCAAATTATATCATTTTTCTATGAGCAAATA